TATGCAGTCATTTTTCAACTCTGTCTTGTAGACTGAAACCAGAATTCATTGATTCCGTTTTGCATCCTGCTAAATTCTATATCCGGTGTCTATGAGCTTGTCTACTTTTGATACTTCCTATAAATAGTCCTACCATTGTACTTACCTGATACCCTCCAATCCATCCACTTTGGAGCATGTGTTGGAGCTCCTTAAGGTTGCGTATCTATCCTTTCTTCTATGTACACTTGGTTTTTTTCTGTCCCTCAGTAGTTGTGTCTGACTGCAAGAGAAATGAGGTGGCATCAGCTGCTTACCTGTGTTTATCTTAATGCCATTAAAGTGAATTTCATAGTCTAATCCCTTTATACTGTCCAGGCAGTTTGCTGGATCTTACCTGTGTCTATCTTAATGCCATTTAAGTAAATTTCATAGTCTAATCTCTTTATACCATCCAGGCAGTTTGCTGGATCTCTGTTGTTCAAAAACTTTTCAGTCTTGCCATCGTCCTGGGGTTTAGCATAATTTTTCTAAACCTCAAATTTTCTAAGCTATCTTTATTGTCATTCATTTCTCCTTAAAACCTGGTCAGTTCTTTCCTATGGTCATCTCTTTCAGGTGAAAGAGGAAAGTCTCCTACCAAGAAAAGTGTATTTTGTTTGTGTTACTATCTAATGCAGGTTAAAGGAGGATGGCTCTGTGTCACACAGCCCCTCAGGCACAGGCTCCTTTCCATCGACTCTGACTCCAGGGCTTTGTCTTCCCAGTTAACAAAGGAAAACTTTGGAGGATTGCAGGAAGGCTGTTAGAGACTAGGACAGCTGGGAGTGGTACCTGCTTTATGTTTGTTGCATTGGTATTTTAGCAGACTTGGTGTTACAGCCATTCTCAGCTGTGAAAGGAGATGGAAATACAGTCTTACTTCATTGCCAGGAGAAAGAAAACAAGATTTGGGGAGGATACAGGAAGCACTCCATGGGCTGGCGCTATTTTGGAAGGAGCGACATATGTTAGTTATAAAGGTCATGAGTATACGTGAGGAGAAGTCTAGAAGGAAGTATTTTCTTGACTTCTTGAGGATCTGTGAAAATAAGATATATGACACGTTTATGATTTATAGAAAATGTATTACTGTGTGTGTAGGAAATTTTAAACGTGTGGATGAAATAAGTGGAAAAGTAGCTTTTTTCAGAATCTACAGTATTTTCCGTCCTTAAAACTATTGTAGAAAAATGTGTATATCAGCATTATGATTCAAGATCGTTGAAACTATGCATATAAAATAAATTGAGTTTCATAAATACTAAGCCAAATGAAGCTTTGTAGTAATAGGGGCGGCGGGGCTGCGTCCCCAACACCCCAGCCGCCTGCCCGGCTAGCTTATGCCCCGAAATAATTACACGGACACTGTATTCATTTAAACACTGCTTGGCCCATTCTCTTCTAGGCTAATTCTCACATATTAATTTAGCCCATTTCTAATCATCTGTGTATGGCACCCCAAGGTGCGCTTACCAGGAAGATTCTAGCCTATGTCCATCCTGGGTCGGAGCTTCATTCCGGGAGCAGGGCATGGCATCTCTCTCAGGCCTCTGCTCCCGAGAGGAGAGCTGTCGAGACTCTGACCTCACTTCCTCTTCCTCCCAGCGTTCTGTTCCGTTTTCTCCTCCCACCTATCTTCTAACCAATAAAATGGGCCAAGGCAGTTCCTTTATTAGCTAATGACCAATGACCTTCCTCCATCAAAGCTTTATTTTTACTTTTTCAATAATATCTTTTTATTGAGCATCGCCAGAGAATATAAGGATGATAAAGTAAATAATCCCTTGAGGGAGATCAAATGTAGTGCAGAAAATAAGACAGATAATTAGGTACCTGAACGTGTCAGGCAGATCAAGACCACAGCAGTGGCATGTCTTGTTGAATGGAGCTGCGGGCTGCCACCCAGCTCCCAGCCACCTGGCTAGCTTATGCCCCAAAATAACAACACACGAACTGTATTCATATAAACACTGCTTGGCCCATTTCTATTAATGTGTGTAGCACCACCAGGTGCGCTTACCAGGAAGATTCTAGCCTACATCCATCCTGGGTCGGAGCTTCATTGCATCTGCCTCAGAGAGCAGAGCTATGGCGTCTGAGCTCACTTCTCTTCCTCCTAGCATTCTGTTCTGTTTACTTCACCCACCTATGTTCTAACCTATCAGGCCAAGCAGTTTCTTTATTAATTAACCAATGACCTTCCTCCATCAATGTCTAAAATGGGTTGGCTTCCAAGAACACAGTCCAGAAACGAAAGAGCATTGATCTAGGCACTCGATAGAGTTTTGTGATGATTAGAAATAGTGCATAGACACTTAAGTTGTTTAATATGATATATATGATATATTATTCCTTCTATCCAGGAAGAAGATAGAATTCTTCTACCTTCTTTAAATCTATATGATTTTAAAACTGAGCTCCTTTACCTAATTTGTGAATTCACCCATTCAGTGGTCATCCAGCAAACCATTGCTGGCACCAGTACTTAGGACCTGAGTATGTGTGCGCTGTTATTATCCAAACCCCTACTCCTTTTTAAGAAATGTAGTATTACAAGTCTGCAACTGCCTTCCCCCTCATGAGTGTCCAGAGACCATCTGGCACCACACCCACCCTTCTGTGCTAGGGAATCTGTCTGCCCGACCTCATACCTAATGTCTCCTCTCTCACCCGTTCTTTTGCTTTTGGTCCCTTGCCTCACCAGCCAGGTATTCCTTAGCTTCTTCTGTAAACTTAACCTTTCCAAGTTTACCCCAGTTACCTCAGGAAAAAAAATTACTTCTTTTTGTTACTATGTGTTCCTTGTCTTTCTCCTGTCATAGAACACTTTCAAACTCTCCAGGTGTCTACAGAGGAAGTCTCTCCAACAGCCTCCTCAGGCCTGCGCCAATAGCAACATCTGCCCCTAACGGGCAGGTGCTGAGCACAGCCTGCTCACCCCTCAGAGGTTCTGCTCTTAGCTAACTGGAGGCGAGAACTCTGCTCACCATAAATGCCCGACGTTTGTGGCTCAGAGAGAATCTTTTTCAGTTACCACAGATGCAGTTTTGTTTCGTTTTGTTGACATTCTTATAGAGACCTCCCTTGGTTATGATGAGTGCAGGTAGCCTCACCAAGGATGGCCACTGTGGTTTGGGGGTTAGCAAATACTGTTATACCTAAGTGATGAGACTGATTTCAAGCCCTAAACATCTGCCAGTTTGGCACATCAATTGTAAAAGCTGTACCATCTATTTGTTTTCTCTTCAACTAAGTTTTAAAAGTGGGGCCAAGATTTTGGTAAAAATGATTTGTCTGTCTTATTCATTAGTGACTTTCTGTGCTATTTGCCACAAGTAAAGATTTTTAAATGTTTTCAGCCTCAGGGAAAGAAGAAGTTGCTAGAGATGTCTGGAAATAGGATGGAGATGAACAAGTGTAGCTCATATTTGCTGCCACAGGACTGTGACTTCTAAGAGGCAGGTATCCCACTCTACAAATGGTTACCAAGTGCAAAGCACACACAGATAAAAAATGGTATACTTTTCTGTTAGTAAATATAGTGCATTTTTGAGACTTCATTAGCTTTAAGGTGATATCTAAATTAATCTACATCCATTCCTGTCATCACTGGTTGCTTAGGTCGTTGTATCCCTTCTGCTCGGCCATTGATTGTGCCAGCGCCCATGCGCCTCTGTGTTGCCCCTTCCTTTCTAATCCACCCAGCGAGTCCTTCCATAATTTCTCCTCAAAACTCCATGTCAAACTGATCCCAGACTTCTTCCTGAGTTCTTTTTCCCCTTGCAATCAAAACAAACTGGGCACGGTGGTTCCTATCTATAGTCCTAGCACTACAGAATCTAAAGCTGGAAGATTCTGAGCTTGAGTTTGAAGCTGGCATGGGTTATATAGTAAGTTCAAGGTGGTGGCAGGAAGAGGTGGGTAATTCCTGGGGTCAACTTCACTACATCTGGAATTAATTAAAACCCAAGTGGGGTTTTTCTTAATTAAATCATTTAAAGTGGGAAGACCAACTTTTAATCTGTATTTTTTGAGGTTATTCTGGGTCTCGCCTTCTAGTAGCCGCCTATATAAAGGACGTGGAAGAAGGAAGCTCTTTGCTCTTTGCCTGTTTGCCCTCACTCTCAATTCACTGACATTAGAACCTACTCCTTTGGGATGCTGGTGTCTCAGAGCAGCTGAGACATCATACCTTGTGGACTTAACCATTCTTGGATTTTTGGACTTTCCATTGGTAGTGAGCCATTGTTTAACTAGCAGGACCACAGCCTATAAGCCTCTTTAATAAACCTCATTCTATCAGTTCTGTTCCTCTAGAGAACCCTAATACAGATTTATGGATAGATGGATGATAGATAGATGATAGATAGATAGATAGATAGATAGACAAAAAATCAAAACAAAATAAGCAAATACATAAGAAGTTTTTGCTTCAACCATTTGCCACTATCATCCTCTTCATCTACCTTCCACACTACATATATTCTTCAAAGTAATAATGCCCTGATGATTTGAAGAGTCTAGTTCAAAAGCTGCTTCATCTCATTTCTGTGGTTATCTTTTCCATCTAGATAGGAAAATACATGCTGCCTTATTTCCCCTGTGTCTTTAACCGTAAAGAACTTCCTGGATGCCGCCTTGAATTAGATTATAGCTAGTAGAGTACAAACTACTTAAGTGTTGTATCCAGACTTGGTTTCATTTTTCACAGATCTTAGTGCTTAACATAGAGGGTCCTGCTCATCGTAGGAGCATAAGAAGTGTTTATGGAACAATTCTCTTAAAGATACCCATTCCAGTTCACTAGAACTTGGTTTTCAGATTTTGTTTTGTTTTGTTTTTTGTTTTTTTGTCTCCATTTTCTTTCACAGAAGTTTCTGGAGATTTTCAAGGTACAAGTACAGCCCCATTTTATAACAAGTGTTATCTTGCTTCTTGTTCTCATCTCAGTTAATGAATTGTTCCCTTTATCTCGGTAGCCTTGTTTGTAAGCTGAACACAAGGACCACCATCCTGGCAGCAACTAACCCCAAAGGCCAGTATGACCCCCAGGAGTCCGTGTCTGTGAACATTGCTCTCAGTAGCCCACTCCTAAGTCGATTTGACCTCGTCCTGGTTTTGCTCGACACCAGGAACGAAGACTGGGACCGCATCATTTCTTCCTTCATCTTAGAAAATAAAGGTAGGTGAAGAGAAACAAATCACTCACTATGAGAAGGAAAGATTAAACCTAACCAAAGGATATTCCCTTAAATTAAATACTCAAGATGTCTGTGTTGACAGTGATGGAGAGAAGCTTAGACAGAAGGCAGCTGTGAAACTAGTTAGTGGGCTTCACATAGTGAACAGAGGGGAAAGTGGCTGTCTCCACCTCCGTCATGAGAACATAGGTGAACTAAATATGCATGTAGGTAGGTAGTTATGTAGATGATTGATGGAGTAGGAGCTGCGGGCTGTGTTCCACCCGGCTCCCAGCCGCCTGACTAGCTTATGCCCCAAAATAACAACACACAAACTGTATTCATTTAAACACTGCCTGGCCCATTATATCTAGCCTCTTCTCAGCTAACTCTCGCACCTGGACTAGCCCATGTCTAATAATGTGTGTAGCACCCCAAGGTGCGCTTACTGGGAAGATTCTAGCCTAGTCCATCCTGGGTCGGAGCTTCATTGTGTCTGCCCCAGAGAGCAGAGCTAAGGCATATATCTGAGGCGTCTTACCTCACTTCCTCTTCCTCCCAGCATTCTGTTCTGTTTTCTCCACCCACCTGTGTTGTAACCTATCAGGACCAAGCAGTTTCTTTATTTAACCAATGACCTTCCTCCATCAGATAGATAGATAGATAGATAGATAGATAGATAGATGGCTAAATATCCTTTTTCATAAGAGCCATCCTTATGCTGAAAAATTAATACTCTTGCACACAAAACTGGAGAGAATTATGAAGTAGAAATCAATAAATGTTAGTTTTCTTTAAATTTGACCTACTTAAGTTTCTATTACTATACATGAGACCAGAATTATTCTAAATAATTTTCTTTCTGGGCTTAACTTTTTTGTTTACTAATCTTATATCAAAATAGCTTATTCTGGAGCTACATGCTAAAAGGAGAATAGGCCTAGATTTCAATGGACATAAAACCTGAAGCTTACCTTTTAAAAATGTATAAAGGAGCCGGGTGTAGTGGTGTGTATTTTTAATCCCAACGCTTGAGAGGCAGACAGATCTCTGTGAGTTCCAGATCATCCTGGTCTACAGAGTGAGTTTCAGGAGAGCCAGGTATGTCTATATAGAGAGATTCTGTCTCAAAAAATCCAAAATTAAATAAATGTTAAAATGTGTATAGGAACTTTCTCAAATTCCTCAAAATAAGTTGTTTCCCACCTGTTTTTTAATCTACTGATCCAATGTCTGGTGTATGGACACAGGTTACCCCAGCAAGTCGGAGAATCTGTGGAGCATGGAGAAGATGAAAGCCTACTTCTGCTTCATTAGGAATCTGCAGCCCACATTGTCTGATGTGAGCAATCAAGTACTCCTTCGATACTATCAAATGCAAAGGCAGAGTGATTCCCGAAATGCAGCCCGGACAACCATCCGCCTATTGGAAAGCTTGATTCGATTAGCAGAAGGTTCATTTTATTTTACAGATATTTTTATTGAGTGCCTAGTTTGTACAGGCGTGTTTTGTGCATTTAAAAGATGATAAGAGTAATCCCCACTGAAAGGTACTCATAGTCTCTTAAAAAGTAAAGACTGAAGAGGGTATTTTTTTATATGAACTTGAGTGCGCTTATCTTCGGTACATAAATATTTAGAATTCCAATATTCTCTTGGAGAATTCTTTTTTGAGTGTCCTTTCTTGTCCTGATTACATTGGGTTTGAATTCTGTTTTGTCAGATAATAAAATGACTGCACCAGCTTGCTTCTTGGGTCCTTTGCATCCTTGATGGGTAAGGTGTATTTCTTGGATTTCTTTCTCACAGAAAGGTGGATCCTGTTTTTTAATCCAACTAACAAGTCTATGTCTTTTTGTTGAGGAATTGAGAATATCAATGTTGAGAGGTATCAGTGAGCAGCATTTATTGATTCTTGTTGTTATGTTCTGATGGTGTGCATTTTTCCTTATTCCTTGTGTTTTCTTGGTTCAACCTCTTCAGGTTGAAATTTTTCTTCTAGTGCCTTCTGTAGAGCTGGATTTGTAGATGGATGGTGCTTAAATTTTATTTTATCATGGAACGTTTTTCTTTCACAATCTATTGTGATTGAAAGTTTTGCTGGGCTTGTTATTTGATGGCATCTGTGGTCTCTTAGAGTTTGTAAGAGTATCCATCCGGGCCCTCTGGCATTTAGAGTCTCCTTTGAGAACTCAGGTGTTATTCTAATGGGCCTGCCTTTATATGTTATTTGGTCTTTTTCCCTTGCAGTTTTTAATATCTTTTCTTTGTTCTGTACATTTAGTATCATGATTATGTGTTATGGGGAATTTCTTTCCTGGTCCTATATGTTTTGTATTCTTGTACCTTGATAGGGGAGACCTCCTAATCTTGAAATTAGGAAATTTTCTTTTCTCTTAAGACTTCATTGAAAATACTTCCTGTACCTTTTACCTGCGTTTATTCTAGCTATCTACAAATAATAGAAATATGGTCTTTTCTGTGTCCCAGATTTCCTGGGAGTTTTGTACCTGGATTTTAATTTATTTTATTTTATTTTTTTTAGGTTTAACATTTTCTTTGAATGAGGTACCCATTGCTTCCTCCTAAATTCAACACCTGAGATTCCCTCTTTCATGTAGTCTAGTGTTCTGTTGAGGCTCACTACTGGGCTTTTGTCTGACTTCCTCCATTTGTTACCTGCAGTTTTATCTCATGGGGTTTTGTTTTGTTTTGAGTGATTCTATTTCTTGGTTGCACTCTACTTTCATGCTGTGATTGTTTTCATTGTATCATTCCACTGTTTGTATTTTCGCAGACCTCATTAAGGGATGTTTTATCTTCTCTGAGGTCCTTGAACATATAATCACAGTAGCTATTGTGGTCGTCTTGGGCTTCAGCTACATACATTACATTTCTCAGGACCTATTGTAGTGAGATTACTGGGTTCTGGGTGGAGTCATATTGTCTTGGTGTTTATTGATTGTATTTTTGTGCTGGTGTCTAGACATCCAGGGTTGGGGTGACTGTGGTACTAGCTGTTGCTATCTGCTCTTGTCTTTGCTGAGTGGCTGTTCCTTCCCTTGTTTTCGGTTGGCCTCTCTGCATCTTAGGAAAGTGTGTTGCGGTGGGTTGGCTAGTAGGGAGTGCTTCTGCAGGCCAGTGGGTAGCAGAGAGGAATAAAGTGGGGGCTAGGAGAAAATTTTGGGAGAGACTTCAGGAAAGACCTGAGGGAATCCTGTTCACCTAGAGCTGGGGTCCGCAGGGAGTTAGAGATGCTGTAGCAGAAAGGGATCCTGAAAATATGTTACATTACGGTAAAGAATTTTCTGGAGAGACAGAGATGAAAAGGCTATGGAGACCTAAACTTGGAGTCTCTAGTAAATGAAGGTGAGGGAAACCCAGGGCCTGACCGAGAGTTGGAGTCTCCAATGAGAGGAGTTGAGGTGGAAGGAGGTGAGTCTGTGAGCCTGTTGTTACCTGCCAAGGGTGAGAATGGAGAGATCATAATGGATGATAGAAGGGAAGAGTGAGTGATTTACCTACCTGAGTCCCTGCCGGGTGTGATCACCAGGGGCCCAGGGTAGAAAGTGTGTCTAGTATTGGGGGCGAATAGGAAGAAAAGGGTAAGTGCTAGAAGGGTGGGCTCTGAGGATCTACAGGAAGTAGGAAGGCTCTGTCCACTCCGAAGTTTGCAGAGTTCTGGTAGGAATGCAGGTAGGGTGGGAGGACAGGCCCTTCCCCAGGAATGCAGGGAGGGTGGGAGGACAGGCCCTTCCCCAGGAATGCAGGGAGGGTGGGAGGACAGGGCACTGTAAGCAGTCGGCTACAGGTCTGGGGGTGAGACTGGGGAAATTGTAGTGGAGGACAGGGAAAGAGGGTGAAAGTCACCTACCTGACTCCCAGCCCATATGGCCACTGGGTTCCCAGACCAAGTGTTGCCAGCTCTAATAGGTAGCTGACAGCAAGGGTTGGGGTGAGGAAGGAAAGCGGAGTCCACGACAAGGTTCAGTGGAGTCCCCAGGAAATGGAGATAAAGTGGGAACAGGGCTTCTGCAAAGCTGTCTGTCACACAGCTGGGGATAAGACTGGAAAACTTCAGTGGAGGACAGGAGGGAGAGTGCAAGTCGCCTGTCCAGTGCCCAGCCCAGTGTCTCATGCCTGTTTGTAACTAATCAGCAAAACTGTACCCCATCCTATCCCAGAGGCTTAGGGCTCGCACGTATGCATGCAGCTAATGTCCATCTCAGCATTTACACTTTACCTGTGTGCAAATGAATAAATTCATATGAATTGAATGTAGCATCATGAAATCATGTAAACTTAATAAAATGCCATAAATAAATGAACCTCATTTTATTCAAGGATTTATAGCTAACATTCTGGCAAGAAAAATCTAAAAATTCTTGCTTGCTAGTTTGATGTTTTAAAAGGCTCGTAAATCATAGATAAAAGAGGTGCCAGAGATAAGAAATGAGTTTTAATTTTGTGTATTTAATGAGAGTAAAAAAATGAAGAATAAAAATTTCTAAATATTAAGTGCATGTTATTACAGTGATTTCTGTGCTGGAGTTAGAACATTCTCATATAAATACGCAAAATTGTGTGGGCTATGAAGGATGAGGCCTGTTTTTGGAGAAACTACTTTGAAGATGGTTGCCTGTTCTAGTAAAATTAACTGATGATTAATTTAGCTCATCTATAAAATGCAAGTTTAGAGGGTAGAGATGTCAAGAGCAGGATTGCGTTTATCACCTCAGTAAAAGTGTCTTGCTGTCTTAGCTCATGCTCGCCTGATGTTCCGCAATACCGTGACGCTGGAAGACGCTATTACGGTGGTGTCGGTGATGGAATCCTCAATGCAGGTAAGGATATTTATGCCTAATGTTCACCTAATTATGGGCTCTTCTTACATGACACTTTATTAATATACTAAGAGTTGTAAAATTGATCAAGTTCTATACCTAGTGCTTCCTCGAAAAATCCAAAAGCAATTATTTGAAAGAAGGGAGCTGTTGCCCTTGCCTTTGCCTGTAAATGGGAAGTAGCAGGTCTCAGTAGTTTTCTTCCTCAGCAAACTTAAGGAAGTTCATGCTCTCACTAGTGACCTGTGGCTTCCTGGCACAGTGATCCTGCAGGGGAAAGGATATAGAAATTTGAAAGGGTTCCATGATTGTGATGCCTAAGACGAGGGCATAGGGATGTGGTCTTTCCCACCTAAGATCAGTGGTCCCTGGTGTGTCCTTACTCTTGTCCAAGTTGATCTGTGACTGTTCCTGGTGTTTTTTCACCCTCAGGGAGGTGCTCTGCTGGGAGGTGTGAATGTTCTTCACACTTCCTTCCCTAAAAGCCCACAGGCACAGTACCGGAGGCAGTGTGAACTCATTCTGGAAAAGCTGGAACTGCAGAGTCTCTTGAGCGAAGAGCTTAGAAGACTTGAAAGGTAAAGGAGGAAATCAAAGGCAGGCACATGGAGAAAGATGCCTTCTCGGCATTTAGTGAAACTGGAAGCGTAGTTAGCAGAAAACTGCCAGGCATCAATTCATTATCCGTTGCTGTATAATCAACCACTGCAAAACTCAGTGCCTTAAAAAACAAACAAAAAAACTTCCACTATTTTAGTGCTTAATTTTTGGGGAGTCAGAAATTCAGGCTGATTCAGGGGAGATGGCTGTCTCTGGATGTCATGTTGACTGGGTCAACAACTGGGGAATGGCAGAGGAGTGTTTCAGAACTCCTCACTTATGAAGTGTGGATAATAGACATGGGAGGGGCATGGAGTGATGTGTTACGAGAATTAAAACATGTAACTTTACCTAAAGACAATGACCTGAATTTTAGTGTTCCCTAAATGCATGGGTTTCTGTAAAGCTAGACTTTGAATCTTCACTTCTGAAATGAATAAGAAATGGCAAGATCATCTGTCTGTCCAGGATCAGTCAGAGTGTTTTCTTCACAGCAGACAATGCGTGGAATGCGTGTTGAAGCTTAGTGGCTGTCCGCACTGGGATTGTTGTCTGCATTAAGTCAGACCTTGGAAATATCTCTCCTAGCATTTTTCTCCACTTTGCTGTCTATCTGACTTCTCCCAGCAGCATTCTGCTTCTAATTCAAACCTATCACATTTCTCCTGGGCAATGAGCGGAGTTGGCTTTTCTCCCTAGTAATAGGTACCGCGCTGCAGTAAACTGGCACTGTGTGAGCTTAATCAGCCTCTCCTTTGGCCCTAGCCCCTTTTATGACCCAGAGCATATGTGGTTAGGTGTAGCCTAACCTCAGGAGGCTCAGCTGGACTCAGCTCAGCTCTGCCTGGGACAGTCCACTTGACTTTTGGCTAGCTCAGTCTACCAGAAGTGATAAATACTAGATTCAAGAAAAGAGGACCACAAGGCTTAGCCTTAGTCATCTCATATTGAGAAGTGATTCTCCTGGACTAGAGTGGGGAGAAGTCTATAGGACTATCAAAAAACAAACAAAAAACCAATTCTGTCTTCAATTCTCTACTGTTACTTCTTAATCATGAAGAAAGATGTTTTGGTGTTGATCCTCTCAACACAACAGAACCAAGTGCCTCACACTAGGGGTAAATTATCTTCAAGATCCAATTGGAAGCTAACAATTGTGAACCGGTGCTCACAGATTATTAGAGATGGGTTGATCGGGATATCAGAATTAGCCAGTAAGGGCTAGAGCTAAAGGGCCAAGCAGTGTTTAAATGAATACAGTTTGTGTGTTGTTATTTCGGGCATAAGCTAGCCAGGTGGCCGGGGTGCTGGGGACGCAGCCCCGCCGCTCCTATTACTACACCTCGGCTCTGAGGCTGTTCTTCCATAGCTCTGACGAGTGTGAGGGTCCCAACACTTGCTGATGCTGAAGTGCTCCCCTCATGGTGGTGATTTGGAAAGCTGCTTGCTTCTCTGTTTCGCTGCAACCCAAATTAGAAACAAGGAACTCGAGCCTATTACTCTGTTGCTATCTAAACCTGTGAGTAATAAGTTTATAATCCTTTTATAATTTGTAATTACTTTTATAAAAGTAATATATATTCTTTGTACATTTTAATAACTAGAAGTAGTGAATTAGTAAAAAAACAAAAGTCAAATATAATTTTATTTCCCAGAACTATATATTAACCTAATATATTTAATCTATATTTTTAAATTCTTTTTTCTGTTACTGTACATGAATTTTAGAATAATTTCTCACCTGCTTTTAAGTGTAATTTTCTTTCAGATTTAGCACATGGAAGCAGGGTCATATATTTCACCACAGTGGGCTGATATTTCTAAGTTAAGGACCTTCTGAAGGATCCACTCTGGGAAGCAGTAAGTTCTGCTAGAAAGTGGTTCTTCTGGCTTGTGCTCGGCTTTAACGTGCCTGATATTGAGAGCAGGTTTCATGAGTAGATCCTTCATCCAGAGCTGATGAGCAGGTGCTAATTCTGTGTCAGAGCACTGGAGAGCTGCTCAGAGGCTCTGAGGGAGCATGATGGGACGTTGCAGGAAAGGGTGGACAGTGCCCAGAGGGTCCGCTGCCCACTGGAGGTGACAAGCAGGCCACAGACTTCACTCCTGAGGCAGGCAGTTCTTGTGCACACTGCAATTCAGTACCTCCATTCAGTAATGCTGAATCCACATCTCCAGGGCTGCCTGGTGAAACCATCAGAGCCATCCCTTAGCAATGGCAGCTTCTATGCAGGGAGTCTCAGTGTTTCTGTGTTTGTGCGTTACACAGGAAGGGCTCTGAATGAGTGTCTCATACAGGTCTGCAAAGGGTCTCAGTGAAGTCAGTGCTTCCAGAGTGATGTGAAAGCCTAGACCAGCCTCTGGTTTCATTTTCTGTGTTTTACTACAGTTTTTAGGTTGAAAGAAAATGCTTGCCAGAGCCCTGAATTCAAAGTAATTTTCTTCTACTCTGGGAGACTGTACTTGTTACTGACTTGAAATTGTGTTGCACTTAAACCTTCCAGGTGGCATCTCAGAGAGTAAAGAAACAAAAGGCTGGCATAGAATTTCCTTCTTTCAGTGTGTTTTCCTTATCTGTCTCTGCCTAGATTACAGAATGACAGTGTGCACCAGCCCCAGCCACAGGTCGAGGCAGCTCCAGGTTCCTCAAGAAGTTATCCAAGGGACAAGCCATGGCTGGGGACTTCAGCACAGCAGGAACAGGGCTGTAGCTGGCCCACCTCCTCCTCTGCAGAGGGTGCCATGGAATGTCCTGATGGAGACTCCGCACCTAGTCTGGAGTGTAATGGACCAATAAGTAGTAACCATTCAGCACAGCACAAAGGTGGCGGAGGTGACAACTTAGACTGGCTTGACCTCATGGCATCTCCTGAGATTGAACCGAAGAGCCGTGCTGTGTCTCCTGAACTGAAAACAACTGAGGAAAATGTGGCTTTGAAAATCCCCAAGAAGAGATCTCAGGACAAGGAGAAGCCTGGGCCAGGGCACAGGAAGAAATTATTAGAAACTGGACATCTGCCGTCATCAGGAGCTGTGGATGCTCCCTTAGGGCCGCACAGTAGCGAGAGTACAAAAGCGAGGAAGGCAGCGGTTGTATGTGAAGGAGCAGGACAGGGTGATGAACCAGATTCTGGACTGACTCATGTGCCCCACAGTCTCCCCAAACTGCGGAAAGAGGGGTCCCAGAGCTTGTGTAGAAGTACAACCCGGGTGCGATCACTGCCACCCACAGTCCCATTTCCCTCGTCTGAACCAGAGAAAACAACAGGAACACCCAAAAGAAAGAGACAGAAATCTCCTGCTCGGCTGGGGGAGCCTGAACCTGAGAGTGTTGAGACTACACACAGTCCACTGGTGAAACTGGCCAAATTCACTTTCAAGCAGAAGACAAAACTGAGCCACTCCTCTGAGGGCCTCAGCCCTGTGCCTCCCCATTCCACTAAAATAGCAGTCCACAGTTCTGAAGTTCCCCAACAAAGAACAAGAAAAGAAGCAGCTGTGCCTGTGGAAGGCCCAGGAAAGCTGACATCTACCTCAGGAGACAGATGCTCTGACCAGCTGCAGGGACGGACAAAGGAGCTCTCAAGGCAGTCACCAGAGAGAAATCAACCAAGAGAGGAGTGGGAACAGGAGCCTGAAAGAAGAGTTGTTCAGCTCAAAGATTTGGAGCTTGGGAAACAGGCTGGGCCTTCCCATCTAGCTTGTGAGAGAGACAGAAAGGAAGGGGTTTCCTGCGGCAATAAAAGCAGCAAGGTTCATGCTGGCACATTAGCCAGACTGGCAAATTTCTCCTTTGCTTCCCCACCAGAATCCAAATCAGAATCCCTCCCTCCTGAAAGGAAGGACCTCCGGGAGAGAAGCCACAGTCCTCCAGCAGCCCCAGCCCCAGTGCTTGGCCAGCGAAGACAGTCTTTTCAGCTGCAGCCATCCACTGAGAGAGCGAATTTTTCCACTCTCTCTCTCTTCACTCTCTCAGAACTAGATGACGAAGCATTAGATTTTGACTGGGATGAAGAGATGAGAAAAAAGCCATAATTATGAAAAGCAATCTAGCCAGAATTGTCTTCCCCAACTCAACCGAGTGCCTTCAAAGGGTAGTGCAGTATTTATAGGTGTACACACAGTGTATATTAAGTGCCATGCAGAAGTCCAGCTCTCTTGTTGTGTTTATAATTTCAGGCTTAGCTTCATGATTTAAAATGCTAAATAATTCATTTCAGTTACTGTGATACCAGCCCTTGGGATGAATGAGTTAATGATTCATTTCACAAAAAGTTTTTCACATGTCTTTGTTTATGTTTATTTGGTTGGTTTTTATTGTTTGTTTTGGTTTGGGGTTTTCTTTTTTTTTTTTTTTAATACAAAAGTTATGTTCTAAGTTGTCTCTTTCACTGATCCAGACCAAATGGCAAGAGGGGAGCACCCATAAATCTAACAGGGCAGATGAGTGTTTTCTGTTCTCTATTTTGCTTTGTGTTTTCTACTCAGTCTCCGTGGAATGTGGTGAGTGTTTATTAACATTTGGAATGACTTGCCAAAATCATGTGTTTTTCTCAGACTTTTGTCTTGATTCTCATGCATCAGATCGAATGTGACTGGTGCATTTCTGTCCTTGAGAAATGTGCTTTCATCCCATGGCATCATCAAGGCAAGTCACACAGTGGCTCTCTGAGACTGACCTTTTGGACTTTCTCTCTTTTCCCCTTGACCAGTACTCCCTGGTTTGATTGTCTTTTGCTCTCAGGTGCCTACCTTCGATACACCTTCAATCATGTGGTTAGAAAGGAGTGTGAACCAGAACTCCAGCTGTAATGGGTCACACCACACCAGGGTTAATATGGAAATGTTACCCTGCTAAGCTGCCATTAGTATCTTAAACTAAACCAAGCAAATTTGGCTTAGGATATGACTCAGAAGTAGAATGCTTTTCTAGTGTGTATGAAGCCCCATATTAAATTCCTGGCACTACAAAAAACTAAATATGTAAGCAAAAATAAAATAAAACAAAAGAAGTTTCTGTTTCTAGTGGGAATAGATGGCTCAAGTTCTGTTCTGTGTGTTTCCAAAACCCTTTCTTTGGATTCTAGCAGGGGTTTGGAGGGTTCTGTCCTTACAGCTTACTTTGAAGTATGTATTTATAACAGTGATTGATTCTTTTAGAGGGATTTTGGGACATGAATTGGTGTGGGACAATTGTCTGTATTCTGTCAATTATATTTTAAATAAACGCTGATTGGCCAGTAGTCAGGCAGGAAATATAGACAGGACAACCAGACAGTAAGTAGAGGCGGGTCAATGAGAACAGAAGAATTCTGAAAAGAGGAAAGCCCATTCCTCTACAGTCCTGGCCCAGCCACAGAAGAAGCAAGATGTGACTACCTCGCTGAATAAGGTACCAAGTCACGTGGCTAACATAGATAAGAATAATGGGTTAATATAAGTTAAAAGAATTAATAGGAAGTCTGAGCTAGTGGGCCAATCAGTTTATAGTTAATGTAGACCTCTGTGTGATTTCTTTGGGACTTAATGACTGCGGGAGCCATGCAGGACAGAAACCTTAGCCAACAATGAATAGTACTCAAAACTGTGTTTTATGATATTTTACTTCATGAAATTCACACAGGAAAAAAAAACACAAAAGTTTATGAACATCAGTTTTCTTAAGCATTTAAAAATTAATTTCCAAATTGACTATCTTATGGAACATTTTAAATTGTTGAATATAAATTACTTTGGAGTTTTCAAGCCCCTCAAACAGCTCATAAAATTTTTATACAAGGAGTAATTTTAAAATTTATTATGTTCTCACTTAAACCTACTCAAAAACATTGAGACTATGGTTTAAGTAACGTATTTCTTCAATCGTTTAATAACTTTCAGGCATAGTATAATCCTGAATATACTCCTAACCTTCTATCAGTTGCTATTTTTTTCTTCCCTGGGTTTAAGCAGACTTCCTAGAACTAAAGAGGAAAGTAAGGATTTGGGATTTTTTTTTCCCTTTGGAGGAGGAAGTATACACACAAGTGTGCAAGAGCACACTCACCATTGTTGAACATGTGGAGGAAGACATTGATGTTGGCAACTATCTCAAATTCTTCCACCTCCACAGTATGTACCCGACCGACTAGCCAAGGTCAAACTGTGATTGAGAACCTGCCTCAAAACCAAAAGCAACCCACAGTGGGTGTTTGGGAAATTGTTCAGACTGTTAAGTGCTCTCCTTGAAAGCAAAAGGGCCTTGCTTCAATTCCCAGAACCCATGTAGAAAACCCAGATGTGATGGAGTATGCTTGTAATCTCAGTTCTGGGCAGTAGAGGCAGATGGACCCTTGAGGCTTGCTGGCTAGCCAGCCTGGCCTACTTAGTAAGCTTCAAGCCAGTTAGAGACCCTTTCTAATGCAAGGTAGATGCCTCCTGAGGAAGGACACCCAACACTGACCACTGATTATCCCGTTGATACCCACACATGAACATGCATCATGCATGCTTGAACACACAAACAGAAGCAGAGAGTAAACTACCCCATGAATGAAATTTTTTTTAGGCCACTCTATGTTTGGTTGGAGCTTTAATACTATGGCATGGTTAACCATGAAAGCAAGCATTTACCTCAAGTGTGTCTTGGTGTGGAAACAACCTTGGTTTAACTTGGGGTTTTTTCATAATAATGTTTAAACATTGCTTACTCTTTGACTTCTCAGTGCCTGCTGACACACAGGGAGGAGATACTACACCCAAATTGGCAACTGGGTGAGTTAACTTCTATTGTCTTTACTGTCATCAGTGATCTCATTCACAAAAGCAAAAATGCCAGGCATATCTAAGTGTTGTTGAGGGAAGCAAATAGGAAACAAATACAAAATGGGAAAACCTCAGAAGCTGACCTAAATACAACTGGCTTTGCTGTAAGCCTCTCTTGAAGGATGAGAACTAGTCTAACCGCCTGTCCATCAACTGAGAGAAGCAAACATCAGCTCTCTCCTCAGCCTCTCCCAGGGCTTCTGAATCCTTGTCACTGCTTCTCAGTGCGTGTACTCAGTGCGTTGTCCTGCCCCCACCATAGCTGTCCTTTGTGCCTAAGGCTGGTGTGCTCCAGGCCCCTTGTAGTTTCTGATACACCTAGGTGCCTGGTTCTCCATGTCACATCTTGTCCCCTTTCCAGATATGCACCTACCTTCATCTCACTGATTTTGGTCTGTTTTTTTACTTTTTATTTCAGATTATTGGTTCACAGAAAAGGAAGGGTGTAGGTGACCATGAGACAAAAACAGGCACAGCAGCCTGGGCTGAGGGAGGGTGGGAACAATCTGGTCAGCCTCCTACATCCCTATATCCCAAAGGCTTTAAGGTTGTGGGAACTATAAGTCTAATTCAGGGACTGGTTGGAACAGTAGATTTCCAGATGCACTTGAATCACCTTTTCCTAGGCACCATGTAAGCTAGCTGAAGACTGCAAAACAGCTCCAATCACACAAGCCATTGCTGACAATGTTGATGTACAGATGAGGCTACAGAACACGGAGGGAGCTGCTGCTGTACTGCTGAGTTCCAGCTACACTTGCTCATGTATACATTGATCTCCGTAGCTATTGGAAATACTTAGGTGAGAGCAAAATGGGGGGAAGAATGAAGAGGGTGTTAAAATACAGTTTATGTTTTTCCAGATATTTTAACTAACTGTACAGTTGCCAACAAAGTAAAGACTAGATCCACTTTGAGGAGACAGAAATACCTAAATGCCAGGCCTGCTTTAATCCTTAGAATTATACAGAAGTAGAGTGCATAATAATTTCATACCAAAAGTATTTTTAATTATGTATTTTATCATTGTTAGAAAACTATTTTTAAAGGTGAAGAATCAATCCACGCATCATGGCTATGTTCCTATAATTCTAGAACTCAGGATGTGGAGGCAAGAGATTTGTGAGCTTTAGGCCAGCCTAAGATGTGTGAATAGACAGAATCCTGGGCTATGAAGAGAAATCCTCAATCCTCTTGTAGTAGGAGGGCTGCTTGTTTGTTTCCTGATTGCTCAGCCCCGAAATAATCACACAGAAACTATATTATTTAAATCACCGCTTGGCCCATTAGCTCTAGCTTCTCATTGGCTAACTCTTACATATTAATTTAACCCATCTCCATTAATCTGTGCATAACCACTAGGTCGTGGTCTACCAGCAAAACTTCACTGTCTCCAGCAGTGGCTCCATGGCTTCTGCTAAACTCCGCCCTCTTTCTCCCAACATTCAGTCTAGCTTTCCCCACCTAGTTCTGCTCTATCCAGTCACAGGTCCAAAACGGCTTCTTTATTAACCAGTGGTATTCACATCATACAAAGAGGCATCCCACATCACCCTCACCGTGTGTGTGTGTGTGTGTGTGAAACTCATCCTCTAGAACAGCTGAGGGACCTGGCATATCTGAGACTTGCTTTGCCACCTTCAAAGGAGCTCAGTGTAAGTGAGGGAGAGAGATAGCAGGTCCCTGGAGAGGCCATTCCTGTATAGCTAGACCTTAGTAGCATCTGAAATACACTTATCTGTTAGTCGAGACTGCCTGAAAGACGGCCCAGCACTTGTTACCCAGCATCTTACTTCTTCAGGAAGGCATCAGAACCATAAACTTGTGTTCACTGTAGTTGCACATGTGTATATCATGTATAACATGTGTAATAATATATATATATTATTTCTCTTCTGAAATAATCAGTCATTGACTTAAAAAAAACTTTGAGCCAAAATTTTTCCAGATTTGTATTAAATGTTAATTTTCCAGCTAATAAGTTTTCACCATAAGTTTTATTATATGACTTCATTTGGTCTTTACAATAGCCAGTACTATTATTTTATAAATGAGGAAAATGCTCCAACATTTAAGTTTTTTTATTTTTTAAATAAACATACTTTATTCACTTTTCATTTCTTCATTTAAATAGTGACTATAAATAAAAGATGAAAACTATTGTTTACTATGTGCTAGCTTTTAGCATATTGAAAGTATTTTTAACTCATTTAATAATTTTGACAGCATATAGTTTGTCTTGGATGTTTAATGACTGAATATCCCAGGGCTCTTTTATATCCTGGCCCATTCCCTTGGTACTTGAATCTTAGGGCTCTGTGTACCCATCTGTCACCCAGTGATCCCTACTTGAGCTCTTTACTCTTATCTACCTTGTAGTTCGTGTTTCTATTTGAGTATCGAAAGGATATTGCAACCTCAACGTACTTCATATTCTGAATTACAGAGATTAGCTATAGCCCCCTGAACTTGGTCCTTTCCTAGGTTCATCTACCTCAGAAAATTAGAGAGCGACGACAGTCCAGTTGTTTAGACCAAATCATCAATGACCCTTGAAAATTTACTTCCTTTTGTGCCTCACATCTTGTCTACTAGCAAAGCCTATGGACTATGTGTTTGGTGTGTATCTAGAATGCTGACACATCTCACATTTCCTGTTAACACACCAGTTCAACCCCCCTTCAAGCTATCCTCACAACAAAGAACTGAATGTGCTCCTCCCTAGTGGGACCATCTTACTTCGTACTTCACACCGCATACATCACACCCCATGCTCATTCAAAGACAGTCTTCCTCATAATGATCTCTAAGGCTCATGAGTTGGCCTTGGGTACCATATATCCGTGCTGCTCTTCTCATGTCTGAATGGGATCCAGCCACAGAATCTAGTACTGGCTGTTCCATCCCTGTTCCCTGCCCTTCCCTTGTTTATCACCCATTGAGATTGATCTGCACCAACAAAAAGCAAAATAAGACTCTCCCAGTGAAGCCTATGCTAACCCATTGGAAATTGTAAATTATCTCCATCTGGCCAGTCCTCTAATCCATGACATTTTTAAAATCACTTACCATACCATAACTTACTGATTTGTTTTCTATGTTACCAGTTCTATTCAAGGGTGTGGAGAGGCTAAAATAAACAATAGAAGAAGACCAATTGCTCCCTCCAGATCTACTGCTATGTAGGAGCTGAAGCTCCTAGCGGGTCTGACAAAGCAACTGCCATTGGCACTGAGTTGAATATGGGCAGAGCAGGATCTGTCCAGTCTTTGTAGGATACACTAATGAAGTCAGGCCCTGGGGGAGCATGCATTTAATCCCAGCACTTGGGAAGCAGAGGTAAGTAGATCTCTGAATTCGGGCCAATCTGGTCTACAGAGTGAGTTTCAGCACAGCCAGGGCTACACAGAGAACCCTCTGTCTTGAAAAACAAACAACCAAAAGATGCACTAATGA